ACAATCCAGGACAATGTAAATTAGCAGTTTTTGTATTTCTGGAATAGCTGGATTCAGGGGCCATTAGAGAAATGATGACCTGTTTATGTAGACAGTTCTTCAGATCAAGGAAATATGCAGATGTTATACCTTTTTTAGCAGAATACAGATGATAAAGTATACTTTGTGCTTAATATGAATTGTGTTCTGGTGAACTTTTGCATTAAGCTATGACATTGGAGCTTTGAAACAAGCATGAAGAATCTACTAAAATGTTTCTTTCTCCCTAACCTCCCACAAACAATGTATCTTTGCATTGTTATATAGCCATTAGAGTTTTCTGATTCTCATCTTTCTTTACCTGGATGCTGTTGACCATACCCCAATGAAACACAACTGTCATGTCAGTTGTGCTTCCATTTCATTCTCCAACCGCTATAATCAGATGTCACTCCTATCCTCAGAGATCTGACAAAACCACAGATGAACCTCAAGTCACAGATTGGGGGAGCCCCAGTTCAGAGGTCATTTCTATCATATGTCCCTGAAATGCATCTATACTACCTTCCCTTCTACAGCCTTAACCCCTACATCTTTATTTTGGTAATTTTCAAATATTTCTTTCAAATCCATCCACTCTTGTCAAACTCTCACTACCCAAAGATTTACTATTGTTTCATTTTCTGAGGCTTAAAAACTTCAGACCCATAGTAGGTATTTGTGGTGGTTAATTAATTGTGTTAACTTGACTGAACTGTGGGATGCCCAGATAGCTGACAAACATTAGTTCTGGGTATTTATAAAGAATGTTTCTGGATGAGTTCACATTTGAAGATAACTTTCAACTATGTGAGTAGACATCATCTAATCTATTCAGGGCCCAAATAAAATGACAAGTATAAGAAGATTCACCTATTCCTGTCCTCAGAAATTGGTGACTTCAAACTCTGGCTCAACTTATTTAATTATCTCCCTTGGTTATCAGATGTTTAGGAATGGAACTATGGCCCTCCTGGATCATCAACTTACAAATAGGGGATTCTACATTTATCATGAGAACAAAAAAGGAAGGAAGGAAGGAAGGAAGGGAAGGAGAGGAAGAGAGAGATTCTATGGTCCAGTTGCTTGAAAACTATAACAAAGTGATTTATCAATACTAGTTTCCTATCCTTTTCTCTCCATTGCTCCTCTATCTCTACTCACCTTCCATGTTCCAGGTTTTATATCCAATATCCATCTATCCCCATCCTACTCACCCATTCATCTTCCTCTTTGGGGACTTACACTAGATTTCTAATTGACCTTCCTTCTCTCCTTCTATACTACCCAACTCTACCAACTTACAGAAGCTATCAAAACCCAGCCTATAAGTCATGGTGAGATATATCACATGACAACTTTTCTTACAAGAAAATCTCACAGATAATATTCAAAGCACTCTCCGGTATGGTCCTACCTAACTATCTTGAAGTTTAATCTCCTCTTACCACATTTATTTTCAGTTCTAAGAATTTGACTATCAGGGCCATTAAATATAGCTCATCTCCTTACCAGGCAAAATTTATGTTTGAAAAAACACTTTCATTCTTCTCAGACCTTCATACACTCATCATCCTTAATATTCAAACTTTACTTCAGAATCATGTTAATATCATATAGTAAGAGCTAATTGAAATTGGAACTATGGGAAGTATACAAAAGTTTAACAACCTTATCATGAATCCTCATTAATGTTACTCTTTCTTACTTACTTCACTTATAGTTTCCCATTTTTTTATATACGAGGCTTTGATTAGGTGCTCATGCTGATGCTGTCTCTGTTGAAAGAGTGACAGTCAATAAATAAGGCAGTCAAAAGTGGTGCTGTAGCTCAAGTGGTAGAGCGCTAGCCTTGAGCTCAAGAGCTCAGAGACAATACCCAGGCCCAGAGTCCAAGCCCCACAACTGACAAAAAAAAGAAAAGGAAAAAGAAATAAGGCAGTCAAACTAAGTTTATGCAAACTGAATTTCTGAGTTTGCAATGCCCTCACTAGCACTGCCTTCTTCTTGGTACATCTTCTTAACCAGTCTCTCACATCTCTTTATAATTTTAATCATTTATACCTTCCTTGAGCCACCCTCACATTTGTCTATGATGGCTGTCTCTTTTCCTTACTTACTCTAGGCTATAGATGTGCTGTGGGCCAGGCTAGGATTAGTTTTCTTTGTGTGTCTCCTCCTCCTCCTGGCACATACAATACATAACTGAATATGGTTGCATCAAATAGAGTTCAATTGAATAGACTGCAATGTGGTTTACAGACTTGACAACTTTAAAAATTCAGAGATTAAAAAAAAAAATCCAACTGGGCAGTGGTGGCTCATGCCTGTAATCCTAACTACTCAGGAGGCTGAGATCTGAGGATCATGGTTCAAGTCACCCAGGCAGGAAAGTCTGTGACACTCAACTCCAATTAACCACCAGAAAACCAGAAATGGTGCTTGCCTTGGGCTGAAGAGCTGAGGGACAGTGCCCAGGACCAGAGTTCAAGCCCCACAACCAACAACAACAACAAAAAAAATCCAAAGATAAGGCAAATGGGTGGGTAATGTAGATTAATGTTTATTGAGGGATACTAAAGAATATTATCCTTTCTAACTGGAAAGACTTGGGAAAAAAATATATTAACTGAAGTAAGCCATACCCAAATAAACACAGGGCTACATGGTTTCCCTCATTTGTAATCATTAAAATGTGCCTATAAATCTATAAGTAAACCCCGTGGGTAGCAAAAGATAAATAATTACACTTGGACATGATTAATTAGACAGCAGTCTAAACATTCACATCGTGAGAACAAAGGAGAATATTCTTAGGAGAGGATCACAAGGGCTCAATAGCTATGTGCACATTATCATATAAAATGATGCTTAACAAAATGAACTCCAAGAAATGAAAGAGATTTTTTTATTATATTTTGAAGAGTTTTTTTTCTTTGGTTTATTCCCTTCTGTCACTGTGTTTTTAAATTTCTGTATCCTTTGTCTTGTATATAAGTTTATCTGATTTGGAGAGGGGAAGGGGAAGCACAGAGACAGCGGGACAAAGGGTGAGCCAATTCTGCAGTGAAACCCACTGGACACTATGTTGGAAATGAACTATATAACTTGGTGGGGAGGGGAGTCAGAAGGGGAAATACTGGGAGAGAGTGACAATGTTCAAAAAGAAATGTACTCATTACCTGACTTATGTAACTGTAACCCCTCTGTATATCATCTTTACAATAAAATTTTTAATTTTTTTCAAAAAAGACTATTCTCCTTTCTGAGAATTACAGGAAATAAAATGACGAGAAGCTTATGGAAGCCCACTACAGACATATGTGCAGAATCCTAGAGGAAGGAATAGAGCTGAGAAAGAAAAAGTAAGGACAGACAGTTGGTTAACTGCATTAAGGGTCTTTTTAGAAGCTAATGTCTTGGATATAAGAAATAAGTAAAGGAGTGATCCAGCTTGACTATCATAAATCTTAGTCCAATTAAACATGATGAGATGAAGGGACATCAGGTAAGACTATCTTTTTTCCATTGTGGGGCTTGAACTCTGGGCCTGGGCACTGTCCCTCAGCTCTTCAGCTCAAGGCTAGCACTCTACCACTTGAGCCACAGCACCGGCGTCTGGCTTTTTCTGTTTATATGGTGCTGAGGAATCAAACCCAGAGCCTCATGCACTCTACCACTAAGCCACCTTCCCAACCCAGGTAAGACTATCTTATGGGCAATTGAAAACCTGGAACTTTTCCTGAGCACAAGACTTGAAAGTCATTATCAGTATAGGGGTGTTAGTCCTTCAGGAATAAGCTGTAGAAGGAAAAAGAAAAAAAACAGGATAAAGATTTAAGTAGTCTCTCTATTTGGAACAAAAATAGGAAGATGGCTAATTAGAAAACAGAGCACAGGTAATCCCAGAGATCACAGATGATCAGAGACATTATACAAGAGGACCCGGAGGGATCGGAGCTATAGAAATGAATGAGGGTACATCTGCGTTGGTGATTCAGGTCCAGCAGAGAGGTGAGTAGAGAGGATTTCTGGTCTCTGTGCAATTTCTATAGCCACAAATGTTTAGGCAGTTTAGGGAAGAGGGAAGTCTAATAAGGCAAGAGCAGAAGCGAATAGGGAATGATGGGAAAAGGATTCTCAGACTATCAAGGGTCTTGCCACAAGCAAGAACAACATGGGTGTTGACAGCCAGGTTTTCTACAAAGTCTACCCTTCATAAAAACCCTTCTCCAGGGCTGGGAAGGTGGCTCAGTGGTAGAGCGCTTGCCTTGCATACATGAGGCCCTGGGTTTGATTCCTCAGTACCACATAAGCAAAAAGAAAAAAGCCAAAAGTGGTGCTGTGGCTCAAGTGGTAGAGTGTTAGCCTTGAGCTGAAGAGCTCAAAAGCCCAAGGTTCAGGCCCCACAACCGGACCCAAAAAAAAAAAACCTTCTCCCCTCCGCAGGAATCCATCCCTCCCTCACCATCAGTGTTTCCAGAGGAACAAAATGGTCATGAGTCAGCCATTTAATCCATTTCAACCTCCAAGTGTAGCACATTTTTATGAAACACCCTTGGTGAGGACTTTGCAAAGTATGACTATGAATGAGAAACACCTTTACTATGCCAGAGAAATAAAGTTTATTGGGAAATAAATAAAGTAACCTCCATGCATTCCAAGGAAGAGAGGAAAGCAGGGAATGGCAGCATATACCAGGAAACTCCCTAAAGTGGTATCCAGAACTTGGATTACATTTTCAGAAACAAACATTTAAAAATAAACTAAAAAGACACAGCCCTCAACATGAAGGAGTTTCCCAGATGTTGGATGTTAATGGCATGCGTCTTTGCTTGTTGGGTCTGGATAGACTGATGATGTCATGATATCATAGTTGGCATGATGAAGTTTCTTCATAGCAACTCAGCTTTGGAAAAGGGTGGACTGAGGCTACTTCCTGTACTCTGAGGATGTCTTCAAAGAGGAAATAAGTTGTTCACTTAACAGCAACGCTTTTGACAGCTACCGCAGGAATTACCACTGGCATTGGTGGTAGCACATGGGTTGCAGGGGAGTCTAGAGGGACACAGAGGTTTACATTGGATTAGGGAAGGAAAAGAGAAAACATTAGAGGCGCACACATATGCTTTATACTTAAGGAGACAATCTATTGGTTCTAAGTGATTGGCATTCACTTGACTAAAATTGTGATTATTTTTGAACCCTTCTCCCTCTCCCAGAATGCCATGTGCAAAGGTAGAAAACGTCAAAAAAAAAAAATTATCTCATGGCCTTGAGTGTTCATGGAACTTTTGACCTTCCTTACCCAAGAGACAGTTGTCACTAGCAATTCTCTTTCACCACTTCCCAAACAGCCCTCAGAGTCAGAGCCTGTTGACATCCTGGTCACTGCTCAAAATTTGCATAGCTATGGCAGATCATTAAGCATACAGTAGATAATCCACGTTGATCATTTGGGGAGCTACAAAGATGGCCACCATGAATGTGCCCCCACATTTTACAATTCTATCATGTACATTATCCCAGGAATTCTTCACCCAGACTCACTTGCAGTCCTCGCTCTCCAGCAGGCCCCGGTAGGTGTTGATCTCACACTCCAGCCGTGACCTGACATCCAGCAGCACCTGGTACTCCTGGTTCTGGCGCTCCAGGTCAGACCTGATCTCAGACAGCTGAGACTCCACGTTGGTGATCAGACACTGCACCTGGGACAGCTGGGAGCTGTAGCGGGCCTCACTCTCTGTCAGCGTGTTCTCCAGAGAGTTCCTCTGCAGGGGAGAAGATGAGGATGTCAGGAGCTACTCCTGCAAAGCCTTCCTCCAGGGCCTGCCACACAACTCAGGAGCTTCAAGGACTCAGGGGACTGTGGTCTGAGGGACACTCCACTGTGGATGCCTCCCCCACCACACACGGCTCATGGCCACTCTGAACAATACTCACCAGGTTGTGCTGGGCCTGCAGCTCAATCTCCAGGGAGTTGACTGTGCGTCTCAGCTCGATGATCTCTGCCTGGTAGGACTGCAGCTGCTCTGAGCTGGACACCACCTGCTTGTTCAGCTCCTCAGTCTGCAGTAGCAGAAGGGGAAGAGACAGGGTCAGCCACTGCCTTGTGGGCTCTGTCTGTGAGCCTCGAGTCCCAAATGACCGTGTGCTTCAGTGCCTACCTGTGTGGTGAACCATTCCTCCACCTCCCTGCGGTTGGTCTCCACCAGGGCCTCGTACTGACACCTGGT